AAGGAACCATGATGGAAAAACATTAAAGGACCACTATAGGCACCCAGACCACTTCAGTTTATTGAAGTGGTCTGGGTGCCAGGTCCCTCTAGTGTTAACCCTTCAGCTGAAAACATAGCAGTTTCAGGGAAACTGCTATGGTTCACTGAGGGTTAATCCAGCCTCTAGTGGCTGTCTCCCTGACAGTCGCTAGAGGTGCTTCCGCGCTTCTCACTGTAAAAATCACAGAGAGAAGAGGCTGGACGTCCATGGGAAGCAATGCTTTCCTATGGGTAATTTGAATTGCGCCCGGCGCTGGAGAAAGGTAAGTGTTTTAATCCCTTCAGCCCAGCGGGAGTGGGACCCTGAGGGTGGGGGAGACCTAAAGACCCTATAGTGCCAGGAAAACACGTTTGTTTTCCTGGTACTATAGTGGTCCTTCAATAACCAGTACACGGTTCAATAAATTGTACCTCAATTTCCCAAAACCTGAAATAATCAATTAACAGCTCCCCTCTTCCTCCACTTCCCAACCATTTTGGGAAAAACAAGTGCCCCTACATTTTCCTTTCATCAAAAAATGCAGTGAGATCAAAGGATAATTAGATATATGGTGGATTAGGGGATTCCCAATGGATGCAGGCCACCTATGAAAGTACCCAGGCATTGTCTAGGTGTTTATAAGCCAGATGATTTTTCCTAAAGTTAGAGGAAGAACATCATGTAATAAAAAGTCTCAACATCGGTCTTATCAATGACAAAGAGTCCTGTGATCAAAAAGTTCTTATTAGCAGGTTTCGATGAATCAGCCTAGTGATGACTAGTTTAATTCTTAAAAGTCAACAAACCTGAAGGAGGTTTGGAAGGTAGAAAACAGATAAGAGTGGAAATGCTAAACTATTCTAAATGTGTTCCGTTTCACTGTACATGGCTTACACCATCCTGTTGGGGGAGGTGTGTCAAAATGTCTGGACAAATGCATAAACTGAAATCCAATCATCAAATCAAAGTATCAGTGAGATAACCGATCCAATATATGACGGTAACAGGAAACGTGTGTGAGATATGAGAATGGTCCTGTAGACATTGTATGAAAATAACTGAAAACAAATGTCAACTTTATTTGATTACGTTCTAACACTAGAATTATATGCAAAGTTATCTGTACCTTAAACAAATACATTTTTCCTTATTGTGCTCACATATAAAAACTTTTTTTTTAGATTTCTAGTTATATAGACCAATAATCATCAGCCTATATAAGTGCAATTCTTTTTTCCATCTTAATTTATACACCTCAACCTACTTAATATTTCTTTTTAGTTTCAACGATCCCATCCACCTTGGAAGTTTGCCATAGTTATTCTGTAAGTCAACTGATATTGACAACTTGCCAGGACTGTTTCATGGTGTTCGCTGTTGAATAAAGGGTGAAATTATATATTTGATATATTTGAAAAGTTAGTAACATCCATGGGCTATTTTAGAAGTGATGTGCCCATGCCAACTGGTCGCTTTGACACGCCAAGAATATCGCTAGCTCTGGGGCTATATCTTTTAATTATTAGGTTATTGTAGATTAAATTAATATTGTTGTTTCCCGTCTTTGTACAAAAGAGTGGTTAAGTACTTTGTTTTTCTCAAGTAAACTGCAGAAACAGTAGATAAATAATGTAGAAATAACCCTTTTTTATAGTCCTTTCTTCTATGATCATGACAAACATATCCATCAGAAGTAACCTGTCAATCAATAGTGACGAGTCGACATCTTGTACATCCCAGCAAAATAAAATTGCTTATTAAAGGTTTATAAATATTCCAAGATAATGCAATCAAATTGAAAAAGCCCAATTTTAATTTTGCAGAAGTCTAAATCAAAATGCTTTGAATTACTTTCAATCAAAAAGAGGTCATAATGTGTCACCTGCTAATGTTTAAATTCTCCATTTAGAATTATAATGCAAATATATATTCAGATAAAATTACCAGTTGGAGTCGAAACAAAATTGTCATTGCTAGTTTTACCCCATTTCTCTGTTTACTAGTTCAAATAGTTGGATAATGCCATCTCACACAAAATTATTACAAAATCCAACTCTTCCCAGCTCTAGTAAGACACATGGTGACCGGAATCCATTCGGGGAAACAGACAATGGTGTTCCCAGAGTTGTCAGTTAAATATTTTCTTATCAGTGTGTGTAAAAAAAGATACAACAAATAAACAACAGATCAGATCCAAAAGTGGCTTAAAGAAAGGTAACCAAACAGGGTGTGTCAACAATTGTATGACCTACCTTACAGCAAGCATGTCCTTGACTGACACAGTCCACAATTAGCAGAAATTAGATAATGTGAACAAGGTGAACAATGTAGCAAGGCCAGTTAGACAACTTGCAGGACTTGCAAGTAACAATGCTGTTATTTGGTTTTATCGCTGTTTGTTTTGACTTTGCATGTAAATTAATAAAATTATCACCGTTTTTATTGATCACTCTTCTAAAGAGTTATCGTTTGCACCATGCTGATGCTACCTCGAAGTCAAACCTTTCATGTGTGATTATGGTCTCTCTCATCTAGAGCTACCTCCAAACATTGGGAGGTATTCGATCGGGACAGGGGGTGAGCAGGTACTGAGGAGCATGGTGATGCCCAAATCGAACATGCTCGATTACCAGTCAGTTAAGTCCATGCAGAGAACTTCAACTAGGGCTAAGAAAAGGAAAGATTTAGACAGTCCAGAAATGACTTTTTGTAAACTACGTAATGCATGTTTTTTTTACTGCATTGTTCAAATTCTTAAAACATTTTATAACCTAGACCTTCCCTCTAAAGTTAGACTTGCTCTTATAAAATGAATCACAACATGTTCTCCAGTACTTAAGATTAGTCTGTAATCCAGATTTATTAACTTGTGATAAATGAAGTAGCAAAAGATCAGCGAGCCAGGATGGACCTTGGGCTAAGTACGGACTCAGGGTGGGAAAGTAATCTTCATTATGAGCTAAGTTATGTTTCTGCCTCGCTGTGCTGCCCTTTCTGCAATACATAGCAAGACAAATCAAGTCTATTCCGTTGCGCTGTTCCCTGGAGTTGTTATTACATTTATATTTTATAGATCACTTTTAAAATGAGGAAGGTATAGCCTTCATTTCAGAAGTGATCCTTTACTTTAATTCAATTTCTTTGTACAGCAATCTTTATACCATAACTTTCCACTTCCCTCAGTAAATAGCTAGTGTCGGGTTCCTCTTAGTTAAACTATCACAATGAACATTTATTCAGAGGTGAAGATGGGGAGCAAAAACTTTGTTGCTATTCCAAAAAACAGTGGTCCTTAACTTTTTTGCTAGTGGTCCAAATTACGCACATGGCAATAGCTTGGTGACCCATACTTCAATCATATAATTGGTTCAGTTACCCACTGCTAAATTATAATATAACATGAAGTTGGCAAAACATTGTCATTAGACTTTTCCGAGTGTCGTAGTCTCCATTATACTTTGGAAGGTATTGCCTCTACAGTAACCAATTTATTGTAGGCAGTTCCCTGAAACCTGGGGCATTGGATGTGCCAGTTCCAACAACCGGGGAACCACAGATAAACTATGGGGTTGAAATTTTGGGTTCTGTCCCAGATGTTACGACTGGAACCTTTGCTCTAGAACAGGGGTAGGCAACATTCAGCACTCCAGACGTTGTGGACTACATCTCCCCTGATGCTTTGCCAGCAATATGGCTGTAAGAGCCTTATGGAGGATATGATCCACAACATCTCGAGTATGGAAGTTTGCCTACCACTTCTCTAGAACCTATTTATAGCTTTGTGAGTTCATAGAATGTTTCCACTGTATTTTCTACTCTTTGTATTGGTTTTACCCATGCATAGACTCTGTTATATATTTGTAAAATTACTTTAACTCCATCATATGTGTTTGCCAGTCTGCCACACAACAGATTTAATAGAGGTTCCTCGGCTATATATATTTTGCTTAAGGAAATTATGCACATAATAATACAGCAGCCATACAATTATGTTGCTGCCCCAATGTGATTAAACCCCTAACTATCTCAAAGCAATAACATTTGTGAAATTATTTTGCATATTGTTTCTCCTTTCACCACTATTTCGAGAGGACTTGTCCCGGGTTACTAGAAGTCAACTAATTTGGTAAGTCTTTCATGAAGTCCAAAACCTGACTGTCCTGATGACTCGAAGACAGTTGTTATATATACCTTGATATATCCATGGCAAAGCGACAGCCTGTGAGGGGAGGGGGTCCCAAATAAATAGGCCTAATAACCCCTCCCACAACTCCAGGCTAATGCCTTCTTATTGGTGGTCAGGGAAATTAACCGATATAAATATAATTATTTGGAAGCAAGTCGGTCGAGGTGTGCTGAAACCGACGGGTGGCAAAGTCTGTAAGAAAGAGGCAAAAAATAAATAAAAACATATGTTCATATTTACAAAATATTTAATCATTTATTACCAGCAGTAAACAGATGGTTTCCAACAGCCCATCCTCCTACTAATATGTGAGGGAATGTTGTGACTAGACGCTGCACAAGTTGCAGCTATGCTAAAAAAAATGTCCTGAGAAAGAGGAATGGATAAACCCTATCTTAACTAACAGAATCCTAATGTAGAGGATACGTTTAGGTGTGGTGAGAGGAGTACCATGCAAAATTAGCAAAGGAGAATAGGGGGAATTTTCTAGAAGGGACTGGGCAAGATCCTTCGTATTTTTACTGGACGGATAAAATGGAATTTCAAACTGGACGGATAAAATGGAATTTCAAACTGGACGGATAAAATGGAATTTCAAACTGGATGGATAAAATGGAATTTCAAACTGGACGGATAAAATTGAATTTTGGCCAAGGATTTTGTTTGACTAATCTTTGTTTGTTTGAGATACACAATATAGTGATCATTTGTCTTTACTAAATCTTGTTTCTTAAGGAACTTACTGGAATCTGGAAACTTAACTACTGTGAATTCCCGAGGCATGGGAAATCCGTAAAAACTTTGTAGCTGCTTTGATGACAACATTAGTATGTTGTTCGAAGGGGGTCGTGTCCAGTTAGTCTGAGATTGCTTGTAACTTGAAACTATCAATAAGTAGTTGTTTTGGGGTTTGAGTGAAGTTAAATGTCTGAAAACCCTTAAGTACTCTCTTAATGGGATAAGAGGATAATAAAGGTTTAGTACTGGGAAGGGAGGTGTGCATGCGATGTTGGAATTCAGTAAGATAACATTTGATAGTATTGTGAGCAAGATTAAGTATGAGGTGGCAAAAAGTAGTGAATGCATCCAGGGAACAGTTCACTGGGAGCGAATAAGGGCACAAACGCAGAAAAACAGGCACAAAATTGTGCCCCTCGAATTGGCAAATTTGCAAATGTAGATGATCCTGCCCTAAGGCTGTCGTTCGTGTCCAAAGGTGGTCGTTCACTTTCATAAACTGTTGTTCAAAATTTGTGTTCAAAATCTTTTGTTTATGTTACGAAGTGCCGAATCCGGAAGTCTGAAGCTGGGACGCCGTAAGTGTGGCTGCAGTCTTCGATGGTAGCCATGGCAGCCACCACAAAGAGACGCCCTGTGAGGGGAGAATGACCAGAATAAATAGGCCGGATAACCCTTCCCACAACTTCAGAATAATGCTTTCTTATATATTATTTATTTTGTTCCCTTCACTAAACTGGAACACACGCAGCAAATATATTAAGATAATAGATATATTATAATGTAAAGCAATCCTCACTTACATGTCAAGAATTATAAAACAAAGTAAATCAGGACTTGCAATGCACAGCTACCAAATTTTCTTTTCTAAATTCATATTTGATTTTCTATTCCACCACACATTTTTAGAACAAAATGGCATTCCTAGATACTAAATGACAAATTGCTCTATACCCACACTTCTATAATATTGATAAGCAGCAATAATTATTCTGTACAGAAAGGAAGAAGGACAAGCCAGATGTACAGTTTAATACAAATAAGCAGTCAAAACCAGAAAAGAAATTTCTCTATAATAAGATTATTATTTTTTTAATTATTTAAAGGTGGGTAAAAAAATAAATGTGTTTTTTAGCACTTATTACTTTAAATTAATAAGTAAATGAACACATTTGAAAACAAATTCACTCAGTGCCATAAGAGTGATGCTGTAGGTATTTAAACTTTTAAATAGAAAGGGATACTATAGTCACCAAAACAACATTAGCTTAATGAAGTAGTTTTGTTGTATAGATCATGCCGTCTCGCTGCTTAATTCTCTGCCATTCTGGAGTTGAATCTTTTTGTTTATACAGCACTAGCCACACCTCCCAGCATGTGACTTAGACAGCCTTCATAAACATGTCCTGTAAAGAGAGATCTAATGTTTAAACCTTTATTGCAAAGTATGTTTAACTGCTCTGTTAATAGCCTTCTAGACCCTGCAGGGGTCTCCAGTGTGTGATTGAAGTTCAATTTACAGATCAAGAGATAAAAAAGTATAAAGCAAGTTAACATCTGACTGAAAATGAAACCATTTTGTTTTCCTGTAGACTGTGTAAGTCACAGCCAGGGGAGGTGTGGCTAGGGCTGCATAAACAGAAACAAAAGGGATTTAACTCCTAAATGGCAGAGAATTAAAGAGCGAGAGTGCAGGAGCATTATCTATATACCAAAACTGCTTCTTTAAGCTAAAGTTGATTGGGTGACTATAGTGTCCCTTTAAATGTTGTTCTTTGATATTCTGATTTCTGGAATGCAGCATTTTATAGTGCATCAATGACAGAGTGCTAATGAAATAGGTGCCTGTCAATCAAACAATAAAATCTATTCCCTTGGTGATTTTTAGGTAAATAGAGTGCAATTACTTTCGATGAATATGTTGCTTCTTAGACCCATGGGTTTCAAGTGAGACAAAAAACACCAACCAAAGGAAGGATTTGATTCTCTGAGGAGCCACTAGCTAAGTCCCAAGCATGCTGTATTTTAAACAGACACAGTCTTGTGTATCCTGGTTTTATTCCTATACTTCTGGCACACGGTAGGAATCCTGTACTAATTAAACATTCATGACTCCTGACTTCAAAAGAGAAGGAAAGTTTCCAGAGGGACGTATTTACTATTACAGTCCACTTGCCAACACTCCAAATTTCTAGTTTAGTGAATACGCCTTAACACAGGGCTGCCCAAAAGGTAGATCCCCGGATCTCGTAGAACTACAGGTTCCATGATGCTTTGTCATTTGTAAAGCATTATAAAGGCATGCAAAGCATCATGGGAGTTGTAGAGTAGAGATATCCCAATTCTGCTGCCCTTAATTCATCTCTTGGTGGTCTATTCACTAATCTCTGAGCCATAGTGAACAAAAGAAATTCATTGAAAAATCCAGGTAAAAAGTGCTGGTTTTGAAAGAAATACATGTAAATCTCTTACTTAACAATTGTCACAGTTTGGCTATTTTCCCCTACATTTTGCACATCATTTTTCAATTTACTACAATTCCTTATTCTGAGACCAGACAGGAAGCTTTAGCACTAGTCCACGTTTCGCGGGAGGGAAGGGGTTAATATTCACACTGATTTAATAGCAGTGTCATTTTAAATATTAGTAAATCCCATACACGTTTTACACACGATACAGCTTCTGTTTTGTTCGCAGAAGCCCATGGGGGCCGTTATATTACTGATGGACATAAGTGAGCCCATTAGCACATAACCCCACATGTAACCCCATTAGCACACATACAACGGAGTATCCGTCATACAACTACTGCTACCAAGGGACAGTTTAACCAGATTATTGCGCTCAGCTTTTGGAGTTCAACCTTTCTAATTCTAATGTATTTATTGATTTTGGTTTTTGACTTGTTAACCCATTCTTTAGCCAAGGCTCTTGTCTTTGCAGGCTCATTGTTTCCCAGTAAAACTTCCGTGGGTCAGTGAATACTCGTGAATCCTGCAATGTTAGTTGTGAATTGTCAGCAATTCCAAGTCAGTGTCAAAGTTTAGGTCAAATTAACCGTACTAAACTCAAGGCTGACTTGGAGAATTTTACCAGCTCAGGTATTGAGGCCTGAGATTTGAAATTTCCTTTTCATTTTTGAAAATTCTCCCATTATTGAAGAATCGTATTATACAGGAATGTGTTTATTTACAGATAGTCCAGAGAAGACCTCATACTCTAGATATCTACCTCTAAGAAGAAAGTCAGTTTTGGACCTCTCCCCTTGATCTCGCATATATCTGAAGGGCTAGACTTATACCTGTACCCGTGTGACTATTTTTTTTTTTTCCATGCATATTTTTTTATTTTTTATTTTACATTTTCCTTTTCATATTAAAAGATAATAATGAACAAAACAGGTGATGGCTCTTAAAGACCAAAAGTCACACCCAGACACCATCACAGACATACTGGTACTCACAAACACACTCACATACTCACATACTATAACAGACACACTCTTACACTCATAGACTCCATTGCACCTCTAACACTTGCAGACACACTCAGCCAGACAGCTACCATAGCACACTCTTATATTCACAGATACACTCACACTTAGATACCATCACAGGCACTTACAGACACAATAAAGCATTTCACAAACACAGAGAGAGACACACAGTAGCCTAGATTAGGGGTAGGCAACCTTTGGCACTCCAGATGTAGCGAACTACATCCCCCATAATGCTCTTACACTCATAATGCTGGCAAAACATCATCTGGAGTGCCGAAGGTTGCTTACGCCTGGCCTAGATGCATTCAGACACACACAGGAACAAAATCACAGACACACACATGCATTTCTAGTACTTTACTGATATTATATTTCATTGAAAATATTTGCACTGCATTAATCTAGTGGACAACAATTCAAATATTCTATGCTAATATGTATATCTTTAAAAAAGATAAAATAAATCCCTTTCTCAAATACATAACCAGGTAAATGTAAACACTATTGTAAACGCACTAAAATGCAGGATAAGAAACCCTATCACAAATGTCAATACAATGACAATTGAATGCAATGTTAAATATCAGAGCAATGGTTTACCAAATGATTTCAACTTTGAAGAGTGGCCATGGCCTACAATCACAGAGGACCCATGTTTGTTTTCAACCTCAGTGCAAAGCCTGATACATGGTAACAGTCAATGGACAAAACAATAGATGTGCTCAGTGTTCTGAGGTCCCAGGGAGAATCTGGAAACAGACTACGTGTGTCACAAATTGTCAGGGTACTTGCTCCCTCTATCAGACCCCTACTCAATGCGATACCGTATGTCAAACAGACGTCAATTTTGACAAGGGCCGTTCTATCGCTGGATCCAATTTAGCTCGGCATCTTTGCTGTGACCAAAACTTGTGTTTTGGTCCAGTAATACCTGTATATTACCTTGTCTGTTTGTTGGAGCTAATTTTTATTTGTGTTGTCAACTAAATCTTTCAACAATGGTTTTGAGTTTTAACTAACATCACATATATCCTTTCTGAAAAGAAACACTGTAGACACTATAACCACTTCAACGGATTGAAGTGGCTACAGTACCTGGAGTACCTGGAGTCCAGGGGAGAGATCCCAGGTAAGTTGTCAAAACGTTGGCAAATGGTGTGACTACGTACATTGGAAGGGAGTGCCAGGGCACTCTACAGCACTCTGCAGTGGTTATGGTGCATAAAGTGTTGTTTTTAAAGTGTATTATTCTTATATAGTGTCACTCAGACGGCCACTAGAGGTGCTTCCTGGGTCAGCGCTGCATGTGACATTTAGCCACTCCACTCTTTATGGTGACGCTGTACTTTCCTCATAGTGATGCGTTAATTTAGAGGAGATATTGCCACACTTGTGCAATAGCCTACCAATGCTTTCCTACAGAAAAACATTAGATTGGTTGAGATTACCAAATCTGATGATCTCAGCCAAAGGGGCGAAGCCAATAGCGACCAGATCCACGCAGCACTGAAATAAAGGTAAGGAAACTACTTATTCAAGTAGTCTAAAGGGGGAGTGCTGACCTAAATAGTGTTTTTCTTGTATTCCTGACACTATAGTGTTCCTTTAAGCAGCTAAATGCATTTCAGTCAAAATATATTGTAAACAAAATACAAAATAAACACTCACAAATTACTGGAGTTGCCAACCTTCCAAGAGGAAACATATTAGTAATATGAGTAACAGTTTGAACAGTGGCCAATCAGTACCGATCGGTATGAATAG